GAGATGAGGTCTCGCCAAGTTGCCCAGGTGGGTCTCGAACCCACGGGATCAGGCAATCCACTCACCTCAGCCTCCCAAAGGCGCAGGATTACAGGCTGAGCCACCGAGCCCGGCTTTTACTTCTGTTTCTCTCACTGTAATCCAAGTCCCATGGTCTCTCACCTATAACAGCCTCCTAATTCGTCTCACCACTTTCTCTGTTGTCCTTCTGGCTTGTTCTCACTGCAGCCAAAATGATCTGTAAAAAATCAGATCAAATCTTATCTCTCTCCTTTTGCATTAAACTTAAATGCAAAGTTGGTAACATAGCATCCACGTTCTGCATGATCTAGCCCCTGCTTGCCTCTTTAAACATCTCATTTCACTTTTCCCTTTGCTGACCAGACTATTCATGTTGCCCTTTTTAATCACAAAATGCACTAAGTATCTTCCATTCTCAAGTGCTTCACATATGCTTTTCCCTGGAACCGAAAAGCTTGTTTTTACACTTTGCCTGGATTATCTTCTGGTCATCTTAGATCCATGCTTAAATGATACATCTTCAGAGAAGTTGTCTGGAAAAAAAATTCTGGTTCCCTGTTATATATTCTCTGTCTCTTTTTTTCATAAGACAAGCATTTTAGAGTTATCCATTTATTTATGTGATTTTTCAAACTAAATGCTGTGTCATACTCTATACTGTAAGCTCAATGAGTGGAATTTGCCTATGTAATCCACTCTTGTATCTTTAATACTTAGCACAGTATCTGGCATGACAGGAACTTAGAATTAGTGAGTGAATAAATAAACACGGAAATAAGATCTGCAGACAAGCAAATTGACACCTAATACAGAAACAAGTCATAGTTCAAGCTATACTTTACTCAGCTTTGTGGGTACATACAACTCCATGAATCAATGAATTCATGCATAGAAACAAATCGCAATAACTAGAGCTTACTTTGTCTTGCACTTTCACCTTAAACTGTTTTTGATAGTCAGTATCTATGTATATTATACATTCATTGGGTAACTGTGATTTCTTCATGAAGAATGAGTAATTTGTTTCAGAGATTATTTACTTCTCCTCCAATAGGAAATACCTCTCCAATCTGATGTTTCTTGAAATGCAGCCAATAATTCAGGAGAAAATTTCAAGAATTCTGGTTCCATTTATAACCCCATCACTCATTTTTTTCCACTGTGTTCTTGAACAATTCATAGAATCTCAGGAGTAGATGAGGACTTAGAATTAGATAGACAAGTCCTTAACCAACTCTAGTAATGTTGAGAAACCTAACCCACTGTTTTCATGGATCTATACCTTATTTCTGTTCATGGTAAAATAGAAATATTTTGAGATCATCTTCTCTAAACAGGATATTATTAAAATGTATCTATCAAGTCAGTCAACCAAGATTGATCAAGCACAAAGTGCAATATACTATACAAGTGCAACTTTTACAAAGCAGTGAGCTGAAAAACGCAACCAAAAATGTTGAAGAAATACCTGATCTTTAAATTGCAATATATGATGATGTATATTTTTTTAAGAATTCCCCGCAGTCTCTTCTGGGAGCATGCATTTTAGATACAACAATTACGGCCTCAGATTAGGATTAGAGCTAGCTCTGGAAAAGTTAGCATGTGAAAACAGCCTTGCATTTGTATTAGTTTAATCTCTAAGAAGAATTAAGAATATAGGCAAGCAGCCAGAGTCCGTCTTCTCTATTCTCTGAACTTCAATGGGAATATCCAAATTCTCAGCTCTTTGAATTAATAGCAAACATGCAGGGATGAATTAATTGTACACACAGTTTACTTCTGTAAGATCATTCAAAAGAAAACAGAAAAGTTGTATGTTTTTCTTAGGAGATCACTTTAAATTACTTGGTACAGTGCCTAAGGCTGCAGATTATGCTTAGAGAAATTCACTTTTTAGAGCTTGCAAAACCAAGAAATGGGCAGATCCTGGAATCAAACTAAAACTTGAACCTCTGTGAAAAACAAATGGGATTGCAATGGAACTTCTGCTTATTCAGTACATCTTTTTTTTTCTTTTTTGTAAAGTGGTTTTTGATGTTGTAATTGGTTTTCTACTTTGGGAGAATAAGCTTTATAGCTTTGGATATTTCTAGGGCAAGGAAAGTCATATTCTTGAATGTCTTTTCAACATTTATGGCATATTTTCATTTGTTCTTTTACATAGATGGTTCTAATTATTGTTATTTTACAGTTGACAACACAGGCTAAGATAACTAGATGAAGACTAATTAAAATACGTTGGCAGATTTTGGATAGGAAATGAACTCTGAATCACTATATGATCACAAAATGTCTTCACTTGTTGAAGAATATATATTCTTTTATTTAGAGACCTCAGCTTTTATTTAGAGTCCCAGGGATTGTTCAGGAAGCTAGGGAGTCAAAGATGAAAAAGATATGGTCTCTTCCTTTCAGCGGCTCACAAATATAAATGAATAATTACCT